TGAGTTAGTTAGTTAGTTATAGCTAATAGTGGCTCCTTCCTAACAGAGAATTGAGGAAAAAAGATTGAAAATTTAAAGTGGATTTGAGTAATCTAAGCTCATAAACGTGTTTATTCGAATAATCTTCGAATTGGATGACAATTTTCTTGCTAAATTGCAATGAAGATCTGTTTTTGTGAATTCAATTGAGTTTTTTTCCCCAGATTCCTGGGGAATTGGGATTAAAAGGCTTTGCTTGTAATTTTCCCCCATTTTCGACAAAGTTAGGCAGAGTATTATAGAATTATGTTGAATCTGGAAATTCGTGAAGATTCCCTAAATCCAGATTAGATTTTAAGAATCATAAGTTGTGATCTTTCCTTTTGAGGATTGAGATAACTTCAGATTGATAATCTGTTTAATATCTTTGGGTTTGAACTCGGTTTGCTTAAGGATTTTCTTTTATGTAGAACTTCCTTATTGTGGTAAAAGACAGATTTGGATTCTTGGATAGAGCGGATATAGAGGATTCCTAGAGCTGATCCGAACAAATTTGGGATTGAGGGGTAGTTGATTGGTTGCATAACCTGGAAATTACATCTTTTATCTGTTAATAACAACCATTGGCAGAGTAGTTCCGTCTTCTTATTAAAAGTGATAAAGTACTTATTTGTAGATGAATGACTCTTTTTAGCCCCAAGAATGAAATGGAGAAGTGTCAAATGTCCTTGAGCTAACAGTAGTGTATGGTAGATTTTTCAGTTTAAGGTTTTTGTTACATTTTAGTATATGTTGTTGAACTTTATGCGAACAAGTTTATATCTGCGTTCTTGTCTTCCCCTATGGAAAACAATAAAAAGAATAAAGGAAGGAAGAAAGAGAGAGCGCCTCTGATCACCTTTGAATTTTTTTCTGACTTGTTAAAAAGAGAAAAAAGAATAATAAAAAGATGATGATGCCTTATGAACCTTTGTTTATGATGGTCAGCAATTTATACGTTAAACTTTATGTTTGTGCAGTCGCTGCAGTTGCTGATGGTCTAAAGGCGTGGGAGTTGTTGAAAGGTAGACCTCATAACATAGACCTTATCCTGACAGAAATTGATCTGCCATCAATCTCTGGATATGCTCTTCTTTCCTTGATTATGGAGCACGATACTTGCAAGAACATCCCTGTAATAAGTATGTTGCTTCCTCCATTCAGCTATTGTTGCAGAAAAAGTTGTCAGCATGTCAAATTTACTCATACTCAAAACTCTTTCCTTATCTGCAGTGATGTCCTCAAACGACTCAGTTAGTACGGTTTATAGATGCATGCTTAGAGGTGCAGCAGACTTTCTTGTCAAGCCTGTTAGGAAGAATGAATTAAAGAACTTGTGGCAACACGTCTGGAGGAGAAGAGCTGTAAGCATAATCCTAACTTGTCGTGTTTCTTTTCTCAGTTATCTCTTTTGCTATCTGAATTATTGTGCCAATCATCTACATATTATAACTTGATTTACTATGTTGTCCTTTCAGGCAAGTGTTGGTTCCCAGGGGCCTCTTGATGAAAGTGTTGCACAACAAAAAATTGAGGCCACAGCTGAAAACAATGCTTGCAGCAGCCATTCAAGTGGTTATAATGCTTGCGTTCAGATAAACCGGGAATGCATTGAGAAAGGAAGTGATGCTCAGGTAATATGCATTGTCCATCATGGAATTTGTTTTGTCAACAATCACAAATACAACTTATCATGAAACTTTTTTTGGACATTTATTTCTGTGGAAATGTTAGTTTAGTTCCCAATGGATGATTTGTTTTTGAGATGTCTGCTGCATAATTTGTAGTGAATGAAATTTTTAACTGTGTTTCCTTTATGTAGAGCTCCTGCACAAAGCCAGAGTTGGAGAATGAAGGAGAGAACACTGAAGACTTACTGGAGTCTACTCAACCAAATAGGAATGTATCTCTCCCAAATGGTGCAGATTTGGGGAAAGAACTATGTCTTGAATCTAGTAATAGATTGAGAATGTCCGAGAATGATGCTGGAGGTAAAATTCTTCTAACCATCTCATGATCTGAAAGCAAGTTTGCTCTTTTGAATCAGTTCGGAGTAGGTTTACGTGTTCTAAACTTTTAACATTTTGCCATCATACAAATTGGTGCAGCTCCTTTAAAAGATGCGAATACAATGACCAGAGGAGAGGATATAAATTGTGATGATAATTGGGGTCATGTTCGTACAATTGATCAAACTTCTGATGAGAATCCTGTTCCTCTAACTAAACAAGCCATTGACTTGATCGGAGCGTTCGATAATTACCTAAAATGTAATTTCAAAAGTTCTTGTTCCAACGTTAGGACAAATAAGGCTGATTCTTCTACACAACTGGATCTTTCACTGACAAGACCCCATCCAAGTGGATCTGTAAATCAATTTACAAATGAGAAGCACAGATTGAACCATTCTGATGCTTCAGCCTTCACGCGGTAAGTCTTAATTTCATAATCTCTTCTTTTATATGCTTTGATGCGGAATTATTCTCAGATTAAAGTAATAATAAAATAAAAGATAAAGTATACCTTATCGCCTGAAAAGGAAGTCTCTCCATTGTTGTATTTTGAATTGTTGAAAGCCTCATTATAAGCTCATGAAACTTTGAGAGATTAAACAACTTGAAGGATAATAAGTTATTTTTCATTTGTCTGCCTGTAAGATGCGATGATCTATTAAGATAATACAACTGCAAATATGAATTCTGGGATAACTTGGTTGTCAGACCTTGAGTTACTTAAGGCATCGTATCCTTGAGTTTGAGCCGCTAAACTTGTGAAACTCTATTTCACTCTAGTCTCTAAGATTATTTGAGTGAAAGCATCATTCTGAATTCTCTAATATGAGTTGTGTTATTCTGATGTAATCTCTCCAATCCAATGAAGATTGTCAACTAACGATTAGGAAAATGCTCCTGCAGGTATGTGAACAGGGCAATGCAGTCTGGACAGTCAATGTCGTCTAGGACTTATTATCAACAGGACTATGAAACTGATTCTGATAAGCAGTATCCTGGTCATGCCATTGATTACAACTCAGACGCCCGTGCTGCAATGACTAGAACTCACAGTTTTGCCCCTCCTAGCAGCGGAGAACCAGGACCAGCTGAAATTGGACATCCTTCTCCGCAGCAGAGAATGACGCCTCTCCCTATTCCAGTGAGAGGTATCAGGTTTGAGGGACCAAGCAATGCCTACAATTCCATGATAGCTCCAATACTTCGCATGCCATCAGGCATTTCGCCGCTGCAAAGTCCAGGTTTGGCTACCCCTCGGGAATCTTCCTATCAAGCGAATCCATTCCTTACGTTAAATTGTGAAAGTAGGAGCTCTCAGAAAGTGCACTCACAGAGTGATCAAAACAACAGTGCTTCCACAACTAACAATGAGGGCAAAAGAGGGCACAAGTCTGAACCTACAACTGATTGTCGATATTTCCCCTCTGCAACCGATCAAAGTACAAATAGCAGTTGCTGCAATGGTGCTTTAAACCAGGTTCATTTGAGTTATGGAAGCAATGGAAACATCTCACTTCCAATAGTCAAAACACCGGCAGAGTGTTGGAAAGAAGAAAGCTCTCACACTCCTGATGGGAACTCCAATCGATCTCAAAGAGAAGCAGCTCTTACAAAATTTCGCCAGAAGCGGAAAGACAGATGCTTTGAAAAGAAGGTACGTCAGGTCCAACATCTTTTTAACAAATGTTTTGTCTTGTATTTGATTTATCATAATCTTCATCTTAAGATGAACTGGTCACAGAATCATCTAGAAAATTATCCCAACTAAACAACAAAAGACTATCAGCACAATTCTCATCATAATTAACCAATGGAAAAGGGAGCAGATATCAACAAGATTTATTGGCACACAGTTAATCCAGATAAATAGAACAATCTTTTGTTAGCAGTTAAAGACCACTGGCCATTTGATGAATGATCACAGAGGCACTTTACTTTCATGTGTGAAGGATGTAAAATTTGGTGGCATATGGTTCTATCATTGCTTATCCATCATTTTTCCTTTGTGTCTGGTCGCAGGTAAGATATGAAAGCAGGAAAAAACTTGCAGAGCAGCGTCCCAGAGTGAAAGGGCAGTTTGTTCGTCAAGTTCCTAGTGAGCCTCAAATGGGTAACTTATAGGCTGTTTGGCAATATAGGAACACGACTTCATCCAGCTAGAGGAGGAAACAGAACAAATATAAGTGTTGTCAAACGACTTGAAAGTCCGGACTTCCACAAACAAGAGGATGACCAAGTTTAATGATGCTAAGGTCACTCGCTTATGCATCCCACAGCGATAGTCTGATTTATTGTTACAACCTGATGAGGAATTCTCTACATTTTTGTGAAGCGGACACCCCTGCCTTCTGTTTGTGATGATATATAGGATAGTACATCTCAATTAACATATAGGTTAGTAATGTCAAAGTATCGATTCTTATATTCATGACTAGGATCAATTTTCCAATTTTGTTATAGTTGGTTAGTTGATAAGATCCTTTTTCCAGTGCTAATATTGGAGTCCCTTAGTGTACTTCTCGATCATGTGATGTAGCATACCACGACTAGCTCTAGATCTATGTACAGAAAATTAGCAGTGATTTTCTGGCGTGAGACCAGCTATGGATTGTTACGTTTCCGTTTATTTGCAGAAATTTATTCTTGCAATACCAGTACATATATTTGAAAAAATATTATATGAGCATTTATGTCGAAGCGTTGGTCTCTTTCTCAAGACCAATGTGATACATATAGTCATCCAACGAGATTCATTTTTGAAGAATGTTTTGCCAGTCTTGTACTAACTCAGGCTCTGGAGTCTCTTTCCATTTCCGTATTTGGCATATTTTATGGTACCAGTGTTTGTAATGACAATTATCAATGTGCATAGTGCCTATTGAATGGCACACATGTATAAATGGTAATCGGTGGCCTATGCTTTTATCGTTTATGTGTGTGTTTTCGTCTCTTTTGGAATTGCTTGAATACTTTGAGAAGAGAATGGGGTTATGACTTATTCAGATTAATTGCATAATCTCAGAGCATTTGGCAAATCTTAATCTGATATAAATTGCTTCAGATAAAAAAGAGAATGCGACACTTTAAAGGATATTTTCACTTTGATTCGTGAACAACTTCAGGAAAGCATTGTGAAAGGAAAGTGATCGTTCTATGTGAGAAAGGGAACCCCCAGAATCCAAGGCAAAAAGTAAGAGCAAATGCGCGCCTGACTGAATAAACAAGTATTAGGAGCTTATTAAAGCAAGAATAAAATGAAAATTTTAACAAAGTAAAGAAAAGAGGGGGGTAACTCAGAGCTTGAGTGGCATTACGTTATTGTGACATGGGCCATGTATGTTGCTCCCTGATAACCAAATTACAACAGCTCGACGACAACTAGATTCGCGCTTGTACATCCTGCCATTTGCGTGCGGCCTAAGACCACGTACTTTATTGGCTGCAAAAAAGTTGATATCATTGTTGTCTATGAGTGTGTTGATGTTTAATATAAATACTTTATGTTTCTCTAATTTACCATTTTTCTTTTACTTGAAAGGGAGAAATTACAGGAGGAAAAAGGAAATTGCGTGAAATGAGAGAAGGACAAAGAAAAAGAAAAAGGAAGAAAGAATTAGAGGTAAACGCTAAACTCTGCGCTATTTATCATAATGAAGAAGCTACTCAAAAAGCAAAAGATCTTTTTATAAAATTCAGGGCAATATCACACATAGTGGTCCATCGCCTGTCTTAGTCAAAGTAAAATCAGAAAGCTCCATTCACAAAGAGAAAGTTCGTAGGAGAATCACTTATTGAAATAATAACGATGGGGGGCACCCGGACTCAACTTTCTCCTCATTGATTGTTTGAAAGGCCATTGTAACTGAACTCAAAAAAAGTTAAAAAAAAGCAATCAATTAGTTACCCGCTGTTTTCAAACTGGTTTTGCTTTTACAATTTGTAATACTTTTCTCGTGTATATCCTACGCCTTTCCTCCTTCCCTAACCAAAGATGGCGTACATATTAGTCTTTTAGCTATAAATAACATTGTTTTGCTTCAGCTTCTTGACACGTGTGGGTAATAACTACCGGTAGGTTACATAATCGAAACTCTATGGTCTTCTAATTGACACTACAAGAAAAGGAAAAAAAAGGGAGGTTGGAGGCGAATGCGAATTTATGATTTAAATTTTATAGGTTTAATCTTTAAAGTTGTTAGTATGGGCCCTTATATACTACTATTTGTTGTAATTTTAATAAATTTTTATACTGTTATGAATACATTGAATTTGTGAATGTCCAACAACTCATTCATGAACCATTTTGGATATACATGAATATGTTTATTACATTAATTTAATATCTTGTAACTCTCAAGTAAATTGTACACTATATATACGGTGTTTCTAATTCTACAAAAGACATCAATAAGATAGACTTGAATACAACTTGATAGAAGAAAAGTTTTATCTATATTTCTTGGCGCTATAAATTTATAATACGTTATCAGCACGTACGAAATTCTAACCAACTGATGTTATCTGCTTCATTCGAATTTTATCTTCTTCCAAAAAGAGAGAGTTAATTTCTTTTCCAATTCAGGTATACATTTTTATGTTTATAATGTTTCTACTAGGATCTTCTTTAACCTGCAATTTAATTACTATATGCATAACTTGTTTTGAATATGATTATAATAATTGCCTTGGTATGAAAACAATAAGTTTCGGTTAAATTATTTTTTTTTTTATATAATCTACGAAGAAGTTTAAACATACACATAAATAGATAAGTATTAAATTGAATTACCATGATTAGACTAATTAATCCGTCTAGCAAAATTTCAAAAGGTTTAAACGTATCTTCAATGAATTTATCACCTAAGTGTACAAACTAATTAATGACTTAACTATTAGATGAATCATATTCAATATTGAAACTTGGCAGAATTGATATCAACTGGTTTTATGCCTACTTAACTTATTGAAACGTCTTCTAAATAGAACAAAATATACTAGTACCTATTAATGAGAATACTTCAACTTATTTATTCTCTGAAAATATACTTACATGTCTAAAGTTTTTGTGTGTAATATTAAGTACTAATTCATCATCGCACTACACATAATTGTTTGTTCTAACAATTATATAGAGAATGTTAATACACGATTATATTCTGCATTGATTTTTTTTCATTGATAATAATTCTTATCATTCTAATTCACTTATTTTCTATGATAGTTTTCACTATATCAAATTTGTCAAAACTTGAATTTGTAGCACTTGACATCTCTAGGAATAACTATTTACCATGGGTACTTGATGCTGAAATTCACCTTGACGCTAAAGGTCTTGGCGACACTATTAAAGAAGGAAATGAAGCATCAATTCAGGATAAGGCGAAAACCATGATTTTCCTTCGCCATCATCTCGATAAAGGATCAAAAGGTGAATATTTAACCTTGAAAGATCCATTTCAACTATGGACTAGTTTGAAGGAACGATATGACCACCTAAAGGCCACAGTATTGCCAAGAGCTCCTCGTGAGTGGATGCACTTACGGCTACAAGATTATAAGACCATAAGTGAATATAATTCTGCTGTATATAGAATAATTTTCCAACTAAAATTATGTGGGGAACCTATGAATGATGAGGACATGTTGGAAAAGACTCTTTTCACTTTTCATACCTAAAATATGGTGTTACAACAGCAATACCGTGAAAAGGGCTTTAAGAAATATTCTGAGTTAATTTCATGCATTTTGGTGGCTGAACAACATAATGTCCTTTTAATGAAAAATCATGAAGCCCGCCCCACTAGATCAACTCCATTTCCATAAGCGAATCTGGGAACGATAGATCCAAAGTCTGAAAAAAGATAAAATAATTATCGTGGCCGTATAAATATATGTGGACGTGGAAAGGGGAAAAATAATAATCGCCATGGTGGTGGTCGTTGTAAACAAGAGAACAATAAGGGTTCTCAGAATAATCCTTCAAAAGGCAAAGGTAATATTTTCCACCGATGTGGTATAAAAATTCATTGGGCACGAATTTGTCGTATACCTGAACATTTTGTCAAACTTTATCAAGCATCTATAAAATAAAAATAAAATAAAGTTGAGACTCACTTGACCTTTCAAAATAATGTTGAGGCAGGTCCTATGAATAATCATAATAAAGTTGAATCAAACCTTGCCTATAAAGATGATATTTTTGAAGGCCTTGCAGATATTACTCGTTTAGAAGCTGGAGACTTTTTTGAGCATCATAACTGACGACTTATTATTGGGAAACATTATAAGAATAAAGGTATTTANATAACAATATCTGGTAGTACAAAATTAATTGAGGGCTCTGGAAAAGCGACTGTATTACTACCAGAGGAACCATATTGGTTATTAATGATGCATTATATTGTAGTAGGTCTCAAAGAAACTTGTTGAGTTTCAAAGATATTCGCCAAAATGACTATCATATTGAGACCACCAATGAAGCAAAGATTGAATACCTCTATATTACTACAATAAAAGCGGAAAAGAAGTATGTGCTTGAAAAGCTTCTCGTATTTTCCTCTAGATTATACTACACTAGTACTAGTGTAGTTGAATCACATGCCATAGTAAACAAGGAGTTTACTAATGATTTTATTATTTGGCATGACCGGTTAGGCCATCACTGTTATAATATGATGCGCAAAATAATTGAGAATTCACATGGCCATTCATTGAAAAATCAAAAGATTCTTCAAACTAAAGAATTCTCTTGTGCTGCATGTTCTCAAGGAAAACTGATTATTAGACTATCAGTAATTAAAGTTGGAGTTGAATCTCCTGCATTTTTGAAACGTATACAAGGTGATATATGTGGACCCATACACCTTCCATGTGGACCATTCAGATATTATATGGTTTTGATAGATGCATCTACAAGATGGTCACATGTGTGCTTGTTATCAACCCACAATTTGGCCTTTGCGAGGTTACTATCTCAATTAATAAGATTAAGAGCACAGTTTCCAGATTATGCAATTAAGACACTTCGTCTTGATAATGCTGATGAATTTACGTCCCAGGCCTTTAATGATTATTGCATATCAACTGGGATAACAATTGCGCATCCAGTTTCTCATGTTCATACTCAAAATGGTCTAACGGAATCATTAATCAAACGCCTCCAATTAATTGCTAGACCAATGCTTATGAGAACAAAACTTTCCATTTCAGCATGGGGACATGTTATTTTGCATGCAGTAACTCTTGTACGGATCAGACCCACAAATTATCATAAAATCTCCCCAATACAATTGGCTTTTGGTCAAGAGCTAAATATTTCCCATCTTAGAATATTTGGATGTGCAGTATATGTTCCAATTGCTCTACCATAACGCACAAAGATGGGACCCCAAAGAAGATTGGAGATATATGTTGGATATGAATCTCCTTCTATTCTAAAATATTTGGAACCTATAATTGGAGATTTATTTACGACAAGATTTGATGATTGCCATTTTGATGAATCAGTATACCCAATATTAGGGGTAGAGAATAAGCAATTGCAAAAAAAGATAGATTGGAATGCATTATCACTATCTCATTTAGATCGTCGAACAAATCAATGTGAACACGAGGTTCAAAAGATAATTTATTTGCAAAATATTATAAATCAACTGCCAGATGCATTCACTAACCTACCAAGGGTGACTAAGTCACATATTCCAGCTGCTAATGCTCCTATTCTAATTGATGTTCCGGTTGGGCAATCTATAAATACAAATGAGTCTAAGCCACGCTTGAAACGTGGTAGACCAATTGGTTTTAAAGATAAAAATTTTCGAAAGTGAAAAGGAGCAAAAAATCTAGGAGATCATAATATGGAGGCAATTTCTCAAAAAGAGCCCCGTGACATAACATATGATAAGACCTCAGAGGAGGTCCAGGTACCTGAAAATAATAAGAATGAAGAGATTTCAATAAGTTATGTCTGTACGGAAAAAAGGTGGAACCGAAATAATATTATTGTCGACAACATTTTTGCTTATAATGTTGTTGTTGAGATAATGCAACAAGATGAGGATCTTGAACCAAGATCTGTCGATGAATGTAGACAGAGAAATGATTGGACAAAATGAAAAGACAGAGTTAGCCTTCAAATGCGGGCGGAACTTGCTATCCAGGAAAGATTAGCATCACTTGAAAAACGTGAAGTATTCGGATGTATAGTCCGAACACCTAAAGGAATAAAGCCAGTGGGATACAAATGGATTTTTGTGCGAAAACGAAATGATAAAAATGAGGTCGTTAGATATAAAGCACGACTTGTGGCACAAGGATTTTCGCAAAGACCTGACATTGATTATATGGAGACATATTTTTCTGTGGTGGATGTAATCACTTTCAGGTATCTTATAAATTTGGCAGTCCATAAAAAACTTGATATGCTTCTGATGGATGTTGTCACAACCTACATGTATGGCACATTAGACAACAAAATTTATATGAAAATCCCTGAAGGGCTTAAATAAGGGTGACAAGTGGGCCGGTTCCAAGCCTAAACGGGCTAAGTGGTCCGGTCCAAACGGTCTCGGTCCCGGGCCGGTCCCAAATTAAACGGACCAAATAGTCCCGGGCTAAACGGTCTTTTTGTAG